GCGAAAGGGTTTTTTGCAACGCTAAAAAATGTTGTCGTATCCTTCTACAAAATGTTTTTCGCAACATGCGATTGAACGTTGTAAAATGTCTTCAGCAATGTTTTTTGAACATTGTAAAAGGCTGTTTTTGTTATTGTGGTAGTATGCATGTCGATTTGAATTTTCAAACTTAACTCCAATCTCTAAAGTATCTGTTGTATACATAGTGAATTGTAAAAAAACATTATAAGATGGTTGTGTAAATTAATTTCTTCTCTCTTTTTCCCTTTTTCGATGGGGCAAATTGACAGTAAGAAATTCTATTTTCCTATCGAGTTCGTGTTCGTATTTATGGAAAAAAATAATAAAAAAAAGTTGGGTTTTTTTTTTTTTTTAGCTAATTTCTTCTATCATTATATAAAATTAGTTAATTCTTTTGAAAATATTAGCACGAATGAAATTATTAAAATTTTGTATAAACCACAAAGATGAAATGATTCATGACTTGCATTCATGTCATGTCCCCTTACACGATACTTTGATTATGTCATATCCAACCATGCACCAAAATTTGAGGTAATTTTCGCACAATTTTATACCAAATCTTGTACCAAACTAAAAATTATCTCCAACGTTTACATCAAAATTTATTTTTTACATTATTTAAATTTATTATTATTATTATTATTATTATTATTATTAATCATAATAAGAATTATAATAATAAGAATTTATTGTATTAAAAATATATAATACAAATGACACAAATACCCTTCATCAATTAATTTGGCAAATAAAAGAAAATGGTAAATTTGACTGGTGCAAGCTTTGGTACCACATTGTAGAGGTTTTGTACCAAACTTTGGTGTATTTTGGTGATTTGGTGCATCCATTGAAGATGCCCTTAGTGAACTATAAATTGTATGTAAATAATATATCTTAAAAAAAAATTATATTATATTTAAGATAAGTAATAACTTGAATGTTATTGGACAAGATAACACTTTTTATCATATTATTCTCTTCTCAAGTCCCAGTTTGACCTCAATTTTCTAAAGATTAACATATTTTTATTTACACATTTTTCAAATAAAATAATTTCACACAAATCCAAAAAATTTATTTACTTTTTAATTACACATTCTTCAAAATGTCACTATTACAAAACTTATTTTTTACACAAAATGGACCTCAAACGTAGCCTTAGTGTTGGTCATCTTCCGCATTAGTTAGAAATGTTGACTCGATGAAATCCAAAGAGGATGCATTGAAGTTAAAAATTCATAGGGAATATATATTTTTATCTATTTTGTTGTATTCTTTGATACGAATTCAATGACACATTTATTATATTGGATTAAATGAAAATATACACGATTTAATGAATAAAAAGAAATTAAATCGGGTAGAAATTTGAATCCCACAAAGTGTAATCATCAACCCTTTTTCCTAAGGCGTTACTTTTGGATCGAAATGTATACCAACTCTCTGGAGTGTGGACTAGTTTCATTATTGAATGAGATGCGAGCAAATTGGTTTTCACTATTCAATATCGACTGTAACCAAGTTGCTTGATAACATGGATCCAATTTTTTCATACAAATACTTATATATAGATAGATACATTATACATGCTAATTTCTGTAAATAATTTTAATGCCTGCTTGACAGTCATTAATTTATTTTATGATTTGCTACAAGGTCATTTTCAACTACACATTCATACAATAAAATATTTTATACGTATATCAAAAACTTTTTCCTACTTTTTTCTAACATTCTCCAAAAATTCACAATTCAAAACTTTTTTTCTACATTATTATTATTATTATTATTATTAATCATAATAAGAATTATAATAATAAGAATTTATTGTATTAAAAATATATAATACAAATGACACAAATACCCTTCATCAATTAATTTGGCAAATAAAAGAAAATGGTAAATTTGACTGGTGCAAGCTTTGGTACCACATTGTAGAGGTTTTGTACCAAACTTTGGTGTATTTTGGTGATTTGGTGCATCCATTGAAGATGCCCTTAGTGAACTATAAATTGTATGTAAATAATATATCTTAAAAAAAAATTATATTATATTTAAGATAAGTAATAACTTGAATGTTATTGGACAAGATAACACTTTTTATCATATTATTCTCTTCTCAAGTCCCAGTTTGACCTCAATTTTCTAAAGATTAACATATTTTTATTTACACATTTTTCAAATAAAATAATTTCACACAAATCCAAAAAATTTATTTACTTTTTAATTACACATTCTTCAAAATGTCACTATTACAAAACTTATTTTTTACACAAAATGGACCTCAAACGTAGCCTTAGTGTTGGTCATCTTCCGCATTAGTTAGAAATGTTGACTCGATGAAATCCAAAGAGGATGCATTGAAGTTAAAAATTCATAGGGAATATATATTTTTATCTATTTTGTTGTATTCTTTGATACGAATTCAATGACACATTTATTATATTGGATTAAATGAAAATATACACGATTTAATGAATAAAAAGAAATTAAATCGGGTAGAAATTTGAATCCCACAAAGTGTAATCATCAACCCTTTTTCCTAAGGCGTTACTTTTGGATCGAAATGTATACCAACTCTCTGGAGTGTGGACTAGTTTCATTATTGAATGAGATGCGAGCAAATTGGTTTTCACTATTCAATATCGACTGTAACCAAGTTGCTTGATAACATGGATCCAATTTTTTCATACAAATACTTATATATAGATAGATACATTATACATGCTAATTTCTGTAAATAATTTTAATGCCTGTTTGACAGTCATTAATTTATTTTATGATTTGCTACAAGGTCATTTTCAACCATACATTCATACAATAAAATATTTTATACGTATATCAAAAACTTTTTCCTACTTCTTTTTTCTAACATTCTTCTAAAATTCACAATTCAAAACTTTTTTTCTACAATAATGATTGTCAAACAAGCTCTTAATGATACAAATATTAGTCAAACCTACTTGACTAATGAAGAAACTTATGTTGCTATCATAAGTTTCAAAATTCCACAATTGTCATCAAACTAATTTTCGTTTCATAAATGCTGTAAAAAAAAAAAAAAAAAAAGGACTCAAAAGATATACCAACAACAATGGTAGCCATCGTCATTGGATCTTCTTCACCAACCCCATGCACTATCACCACTCGCCACCACACGAGTACCCTAACACAAAAACGCAAAGCACCAGTTTTGACACGCTCATCATTGCCTTTGGTGAACCCAACCACTACCATTGAGACCGCCCACCGCGCAGCAACACGTCCTCCTCCTTCAACTCCATTGAAGATCTGAAATCATATTTATACTCACCTAAACTTAATTTTACGGTTTTTATTTTACTTTTGTATTTGGGTGGCATTGATGGTGGTTTTGAAATGTGGCGGCTATGGTTGTTTCATGTTTGTGCTAAGATTTAGGAGCGATTGATAATTTTGCTGTTGGTGATAGTGGGTAGTGATCATGGTAGTGGTGATAACAGCAATACATCATCATGTCACACAGTTATGGTGGTTGTGGTAATAGTATGGTTATGATGGTCTAGCTTTTTTAAATAAGAGGCATGCTACACTTACAGAAAGGAAGGTCACGGAATTTTTTTCGAACAACTCACAGTGAGCATGTGTGGATGATATTTTTGGCACTTTTTTATCATACATGGGGCCCACACATGTGTCTGTTTTGGGCAAAATTCTGTACAAATGGAAATTTCTTTTAAATAATTGCAGTGGATTGTCTTACGATAATGATCTTTATTGTGGTGGTGGTGGTCTAGTTGTGGAGGCGATAATGCAATATTTTTTGTAAGTGGAGTGCAATGTAACAATGGAAGTTATAACTCAAGTAATAGATTAGTGACATTGGTTATGAAACATTGAATGTTTTAAGTTGTGATAACGACACGATGATAGAAAAAATAGCAGCAAAATGCATATAACGTTGTGTTACAAGTGATCACAATAGAAATAGGTAGTGAATAATCAATGCCTGCATAAAAAATGTAGTGCTAGTAGTGATGGCAATGGGGGCCGAGCCAAGCCCACGAGCTGCTCGCGAGCTCCTTATTTTTTTTATTTTTATTTTTATTTTTTTGTAAATTTGCACATTTTGGACATTTTTTTAAAAAAAAAATCATATTTTTTTACAAGCCCACGAGCCGAGTCAAAATGGCTCGTGGGCTTGACGAGCTGAGCAGGCTCTGCTCGTGGAATTGAGCCCCTGCTTGACTCAGGCTCGGGCGCCCATGAGCCGTGTTTTGACGAGCCGAGCGGTCGAGCCGGCGAGCCGCTTGGCCCGTTTGACATGCCTAAGTGCTAGGACCTGGAGTTAATAAAGTTTTTTGATGTATTTGTGAATTTTTTCCAAAAATAAAAGGTAAACTTCACAAGGAGTCCTTAAGCTTTCATAGTTGTGCTTTCCATGTCCCCCACCTACAGTTTGTTACACACAAGTCTATAAGTTTTTAAAACCTTAGCACCCATGTTCTAGCTAAAGGAAATGTTTATTTTAACATTAAGCCCATGTTTGGTAGGGAATTACAATCTTCAATTTAAGTCAAAATCAATAATTAATTTTAACTACTTATTTCACGGGACTCGTAACTTTTTAATTACATGTTTAATTAATTTTTATCAAAATTTACTAAAAATTGATTTTAATCCCTACTAAATAGAGGCTAAACGTCATGTGATAATCATGTGTTTTCAAATTGAAATTATAAAATGTTCAAAAAGATGTCTTTTATTCTAAAACAATTCCGCCAGTGATTTTAAATTTAATTTAGGTATCCAAATTGAGCAATTTTCTAATTTGTTCGTGAAACTTGTCCATGTTCTTTGATCTATCCTGACATTCTCAATAAATGTTTTCTGGTAATTCGGGACATAAGTGTCATAGTTTTAAAATGTTAGGATCATAAGTTCAATAAATGGTATGTTAGGGACGAGTGCCCCCACTTACCTCTGGTTGGGACCTGGGTTGGAATTTACAGTTCTTTCTTTCCATCTGTGCTCTGAAAGAAGCAAATAAATCCATTGTTGGTCAAAATCATTTACTCAAATTCATTCGTGAAAAGTATCAAGAAATCCTGGAAAATGGTGAATTCAATTGAAGTAAATGAACAAGAGCTTCAAATATCAGCGAAAATCTCAACTTTGAATTGTATCGATCTCTCGAGCCCTGATATTCAATCCTCTGTTTCCCGTCTAAAACAGGTACATGTATCTCTTTATTTATTTTCATTATCATATATGATGCTTATTTGAATAGGGATTATTGGTTTACTTGCATATTCATGTGTTGTAGTAATATTAATCCTAATTATTCTTTTTGAACCACCTAATTTTAAATTGTTGACTGCAAAATGATAGGACTAAGAATGAAACAGGATCATAACTCTATTATATAAAATTAACATTTATTTACTTACCTAAGTTGCTTGGCAGTTTATTTTTCGTAGATTTTGCTCGATATTGTTCTTAGAGGAATAAGAACTTCAAAAAGCAATAATAGATTTGGAGCTTTTAGTTGTTCTATCAACTTTATTTATCATACTACACATATGTAATTTTTCTAATATTTTGTTGCCTAAAACAAGAATTTTATGCAACTCCATGTTTGTTTTTCATTGAAAAATCATTTAAATCCATTTTTCTTATCCCTCATGCTATACAGGTTCTCACCTTTGATCATTTCTTTTATCCTTATGCTAGTAATGACAGCTATCATATTATATCCTCATTAATTTATATTGTGATCGATAGGCTTGCTTAGACTCGGGGTTCTTCCATTTAATCAATCATGGAATTAACGAGGAATTTATGGATGAAATTTTTGCCCAAAGCAAAAGACTTTTTGATCTACCAATGGAAGAAAAGATGAAGCTTCTAAAGAATGAAAAGCATCGAGGCTATACTCCTGTTCTAGATCAACACTTGGATCCTGTCAATCAAATACATGGTTGGTTTTGCTACCATTGACAAGATGCGTGTGATTAATGACTTAATTTTCATTTACAATCCCATAAATCCATGCTGAGAAGATAGACAACAGATAACAACCCAACTTTTCATTATTTTTGTTTTTGCTGAATTCCTTTTGTTAGCAATCAGTTCTAGTCTTCTAGATGTACTATTTGCATAAACTTCATATTTTCATGCTGAATGAAAGGATGCTTGTGCAATCGCATGAGTGCAGGGGACTATAAAGAGGGATATTTCATTGGTATTGAAGTACCAGATGATGATCCTGATGCAAATAAGCCATTTTATGGGCCAAATGTGTGGCCTCCTTCAGGTGACTTTTGGAAACAATTACTATTATCAAGTTTAGTTGGTCTGAACTAGACCAATTTTTGTTTCAAAATGTTTTGACTTTATGTTATTTTTATTCTTTTCATGTATAAAGATATCTTACCTGCGTGGAGGGAAACTATGGAGAGATATCACCGGGAGGCATTGTAAGTTTTGTCTGGTCTGTTATTTATGAATAAGTATTAGTTAACAAAATATATTCAATTTCATGAACTTCCATAGCTATAAATTCCTAACCAGTTGAAACTTAAATCGTTTTTATATGCTAAACATAATGTTTAAATTTTGTAACTCCACATCTTTTATAAGTGAAGATACAAAATAATAATAAGAAGAATAATTGTTAACTCAATAGAGAATGTTCCTAACTGTTCGGAAAAATTCATACGAACAAATTTCTTTTATTTTCTTGGTACATATGATAGGGCTCTTATTTACTTATAGTATGAATATAGTGATCCATTGTGCTAGCTCCTGGATGTCGATTTTGTTCAACTTTATATAACAAACAGAGGTCATGCAACGTCATAGTTTGGTGTTCTACTCAACTCATTTTTTGCAGTATCACTGTTCAGACTTCAGTGGGATTTTCTTAGATATTAAAGCTCTCTAATTTCGCAACACCTAATAGCAGTGTTCTAAAAGGTGTAATGCATGACGATGCGTGGAGGTCAAGCCATGGGCTAGGCAAGTTTAGGCGAGGTATAGGCGGAAAAAAACATAAAAAGGCGTTTTGTTGTTTTAATATTATTTTAATTTTTAATCAATAAAAAATCGTTTAATGATTAAAAATAATACCTACCAAACATCTAAAAAAAATTTATACATTTTTCCAAAGTTTTCAACAAAAAGATAAGTTTCAAATGTAAATATTAAATGGCAAGTAAATAGGAATTTTTGGGAGATTCCTTTATTCAAGGCGGTTGTCTTGAATTTAGAATTGACGAAGTGAAGAAATCAACATTTAAGTTTTAATTTAGAAGAATTATATAAAAAAAAAAATAATTATGCGCGCTAAGGCATTTAAATAAGGCGCCAAACCACTTGGCTTGGCATTTCCATCCCGCATCTCGCATTGGCGATGCCTAAGCACCGCCAATGTGTGCATTTTAGAACAGTGCCTAATAGTAAAGCATTACGAGCTTTTAGTCTGGACTATCAATGATTCAATTTTTTATGAAGAAGTTTAGTTACAGTTTTGAAGTTCACATCATCTATTATACATGAGCGTATGAATCCATATATTTTTCTTTCTGTGAGAACATATGAATTGCACTGTTAAGATGCAGTTAATTCATTGTATACTATGTGGAAAGTATACCTACGATCACCAACCTTATTATTACAATGCGTTTTGGTTCCTCAAATTCTTGACATTTTACCCAACCTTTTATTTTTGTAGCACTTCGTACTTATTGACGGTTTCCATACAATTGTGTGTTAAAAAAGTCACTGGCGGAGCACACATGAAACATTGTTTGAGGGTAAAATGCTTATAATTTCGAGGAAAACATAACAAAAAAAGGAAAAGAGAAAGAAAAGGAAAAAGAACAAAGAGATAACCTCCCCACCCTCAAACCCCCTACCTTCCCATCCCCGATGTCTGCCCCAACACCTCTGACCCCAACTCAGCCACCACTCATCCCCTCATTTCCCCTACCTCCTGCTCTGGATTGCAATTTGCAAGTGAGGGAAGGGGTGGGTGGCAGGGAGCGGAGAATGTTTTCTTATTTTTATTTAATGTTGCTTAGATTAAAATAAAAATATATTTTTCTTTTCAATAATATCTGACTTTTAAACAATCAAAATGAACGGAAACCATTGGTGGTGACCCAAGTGCATATTTATGGTAAGGCTCAGAAATGCTGGTGTAATTTTATTCATTAGATATTTGTAATTTAATTATGCTATGAAATACATCGAAATGCTTAATGGTCTAGATTTGTGAAGATAATGTGGATCTATTCTAGGCATAAAAGGTGTTGATAGAATGCTAAGCCTAACACATTTCACAATAAAAAAATGTCGTTCTGCAAATAACATTAGTATATTAGTGCTTGGCCTTCTTGAAAGCTTGTTTTAGAAATATAGATATTGTTCCACCTGGCATCTTACATGGCTCGTTTTTTGTAAGGTGACGTGGAAAACCGATATTATTGTCAGTGTTCTGAACCCATGTAAAGATAGTAACATGTATTTTAGTTTTACATAATCCTAACACATTTGACAATAAAATCTACACGTCGTTCAGCAAATAACATTAGTATATTAGTGCTTGGCCTTCTGGAAAGCTTGTTTTAGAAATTAGATATTATTGTCAGTGTTCTGAACCTGTGTAAAGATGGTAACATGTATTTCTAGTTTTATATTTTTTAAAAGTTGAAAAGAATTGTCCCTTTTTCTTTCTGATTCCTCAAGCATATGCTGTTCTTTGTAATTTTTGTGCACGTTGCATTTCTTTTAAATGTATTTTTCCTGCAACATTTTTTGACATGTACACAGAGATGTAGCAAGAGCAGTTGCAAGGCTCATAGCCCTTGCACTTGACCTAGATGGTGACTTTTTTGATCAACCAGAAATGCTCGGAAAACCTCTTGCAACCCTGCGGCTACTGCACTATGAAGGTAAGGACTTTTAAGATTCAATCCTGAGCAATCAGTTTCTTTGATGTAACCTATGCAGTGTTGGTGTTTAACTGAACTTCAGGTCGAACTTCGGAGCCTGCAAAGGGAATATTCGGAGCAGGCGCTCATTCTGATTTTGGTTTCATTACCCTTTTGGCAACAGATAGTACCTTAGGTCTTCAGGTACACCAAATATGCAGTTTTTAATTCTGTACTTGATTTTTCTCCACAGGAATGTTGAAATTTTCATTGTGTTTCAGATATGTAAAGATAAGGATGCTAAGCCTCAAGTCTGGGAATACGTACCACCATTAAAGGGGTAAAGCTCTGTAATCTCTATATATTTGTCTTCTTGGGAAGAAAAGTTCATACCCACTTTTGGTAATCTTAGTGTTTGTCGCTGATAACTTATACATTTCTGTTCTATAGAGCTGGTCTCCCACCTTGACGTGGCGTCACCACATCAGCGGTCAAGCCGTATATTTTGACTTTCCAAAAGAAAAAAGGTTTGACTTGCTGACGTGGCAATACTACATTAACAATTGGGCATTATAACTTGTGCCCACCGTGGCCAAGAGATCATTTCTATTCCAAATTATATTTGTGGCACTTTCAGTCCGTCTCTTTGGTTGTTGCATGGGAACTCATCATTTTATACAGTTATATAGTGGTAAAAAGTAGCCTTTATATGTTCATATTGAATGTTTTATTAGGTGATGCTACATTGCCTCTTATAAAAGGGAGCAATAACCTATTTAAGTGCAGTATTTTACTACTGTATTGTAATTTATTTTTCTTTCTGATTAGCGTTCGTTTCTATCTAATCCTCATAGCAAACACGCCAATAGTGTTTTGTCATTAGTACACGAAGGAGAAGAATATTTAAGGAGATGAGATACAAGAATACTCAATTCTTGTAACCTCAGTGAGCATATATTATTGGAGACTCGTAATATTTGTAACTTAACAATAATAAACAGCAAAAGCACACATATAAATTTGGAAACCAGCAGGTGAGCAGGATACGAAGTGATCATCAATCCATAATCAACCAAGATTCAACGGTATGTTCTGTAATTTGGAGTGTACATGCAGCTTTCAACATACTTGACCAAATCTGCAGGTTGAGGGAGTCTCGTTGCTACACCTAAATTACATGCAAATTGTTAAATAGTTCATATCTCAGTGAACAAGCTAAAATAAAGCAATTAAGCAAAAAAGGATAAGGGGTGGGAGCGGGGGGTGGGGGTTCATTTACCGAGTTCATGTTCCTTAGCAGCAATATGAGACGAACTCTTTCTTATGTTAGAAAATGGAAGGTAAATCATTCGCTTATCATAATGTTCTTCTGTTACTTGATCACCCAAAGCTTCAGCTATTTTGACAGGATTCAGACATAGAAGGATTAGCACTGGATTAGGTACCAAAAAAGGGGAGTTATATGTACAAAACCTGTAATAAGAGTACTCGTTACTCGAAGAAATAAAATAATCCACGACAAGAAACTATCTAATCTGTGTACTTACAAGCTGCCAGGAGCATATCATTGTGCACGAGAATAGCACAAGAGATGACCAAACCAACACCAAGTCCAGGAAAAATATAAGCATTGTTAGCCAGAATTTACGCAGAGAATGATTCTCAATCTGCGATCGTCCACAGTTTAAAACAGTTGAATTGCACAAATCAAATTCGAACATATATGTTATCTGGCTAGGAACATAAGTTTTGCCATTGTATTCTACAGGGTTGAATGGACTTCCGCTTGCGAAAATTGCACGACCCTTTATTGAAACAAGATTGAAAATAGAAGGTGTAGTTAATTAAACTAAAAAGGTTAAAACTTCGATTATATATCATCATGATAGTCATCTCTAGAAAATCTTAGTACTCATCTCACCTCAGTCTATGAGTAAGCTTCTTCAACAATGCACTCAGCTTGTGAGGTTGGATTGGAAAGAGCCATGATAAGAGGTTGCAGTGTATCATTTGAACCGTGATTAGATTAATCCGTGTAAAACATCATTGGAGAGAAAGAGAGAGAGAGAACCTTATTAAAAGCAGCCATAGCCTCAACCATTTCCTTTGTAAATGTTTTTCCAACACCAGATATTCCAATTAAAGCTGTTGGCTTGATAGCCTAATGAAGTTCGAAGATCAAGCAAAAATAAGTATATCCATAAGTACAAGTTTCCGTCCAACTTAGGGATATACAGCATTTACGCAACCTTGACAGCGTCTAAGAGAGTGTTGCAAGGTTCATGCTCCTGAGCCCATGGTTTCTTAAAATGTTGACGAGATTCCTTGCGAGAATGAACTATTAAACCCTGAAAATTATGCACAAATTACATCAATGATACAAGAGAGAATAATTCGAGACTCCTAATCACAGATAATCAACATATCTACTGATAAAAGGAGATAGTCAATGTATAGCCATATATATTTGATCACAGGTTACCTTTGAGTCTACCAGCCAAGTCTTCTTACGGGTTTCTTCCACAAAATCTTTAGTCTATAGATCAAAAAAAATCACCAAGTGCTGAAAATCATATCGACAGTACCTTAAAATTAAAATTTTTGGACAAAAGACATACCTGTTTTGACATTTCAAGCGCTATAAGTTCTGCTATACCAGTACCAGCCTGCAATTACAAGAGAGCATCAGCGAAGCATACAAAAAATCAACTAATAATTATCGAGAGAAAACAAAAAAGATCTAGAGCATGGGCCTAAATAATCTGTAGAATGTCAAAAGTTACCCTCTTTGTTAGATCTTGCTGATTTTGTCATTCGTGAAAGTCAATAAAGCAGGGTTAGAACTTTACTTCTCCTGCACCAATAAACAAGAATGTATGGTCACCCAAGGTACCCCCCAAGTAGCTTAAGTGATGCAACTAGACCAGAAAGCACCACAGATGCCGTTCCCTGCAGTGGAAGGATCGAGATTTATAAGATAAGCAGATGCAATAATATTAACAAGCAATTTACCGGATACCTGTATATCATCGTTGAAGATCAAATGGGTAGTGCCATGTTTCGCCAACAGCTCAAAAGCATTGTGCTTTGCAAAATCTTCGAACTACAATTTCAGTTACAATTGTACTGAAGTTAAAAACGAAGGCCCCTGAAATGGGAATAATCTTGCGGGGTAATTAGGTATTACTAACCTGTACAAGAACTTTTCCACCATAATTTTGCTTCACGGCAGTCATGAATTCATGTAAGAAGTCATAATATTCCTGGATATAAAAATGTCAAAGTCAGGATATATTCCTTCTAAGAAATAGAAATTCAAAATAAGTTTAAACATGAAACCTTCCCTTGTCTACGTATATGTTGAACAAAGATTATCACTAACAAAAAATAAAAAATTTAAAAGAAGCTATTGGAAGTATTACTTTAAAAATTCTTACCTGTTTTGGATTTTTTTTTCCATCAATTTTAGGTGGCACCGTCACAAGGGGTTGTGAAAATCAAAGCTTGCTAATTTCTTGGACATTAATTTTGAAAGGTTTAAAATCACCAAAAATTGATGTAGCGTAATTTTGACCACCCGTCAAATGGCTACATTTTGATCATTTCTCATATTCTCTTCTAATTTTATCCTCTATAAAATAATTACTTTCAAACAATATATTTTATTCAAAGCTAACTTGTAAATAAAAATATATTAATTAAAAAATTATTTATAAGAGAAAAATTAGCTTATAATTGTAAAATCTAATTATGAATAAAAGTTACTTATAAGATAAAAAATCAATTTTGCAGAAAAAATTTATAAAGTAAAAATACCACTAATAAGATAAAAAAAAATCACTTATAAAATATAAATATTAATTATAACTAAAAAAAATTGTTTGTTTAAAAATTATTTAAAAGTACAAAAATAACTTATAATTCTAAAATTTACTTTCAAGTTAGTTTGCATAACTCACAATTTGAAAGGTCCCCCGACAAGGGGAATAAGTTATATTGTTTGTCAAAGTGTTTCCCATCATCCTAGATTCATCTATTTGAGGGAGGCCCAATTTCACTCTCTTCTAATTGCTTAGAAAGATTCGAGAACCCTTTACTTTATATCTAGAGCTCATCGAAGCCATATTCTGTATATTCAGGAACATGGCTATTGTTATATTCCTAATTGTAATTAGCTTTATCCGTATCAAAATCTAGGTTAGTTAAGTTAAAATTAAGTTGTAATTAAAGTCAAAAGAGCTGGGATTTGTAGTATAGGTCTTGTAGGAATTCAAGATGTCAAAGATATCCAAGAAAATCACATATGATCAATGAAATATAATTAGAAGTCTAAAGAGTGTCAAAGGGCCACACAAGTTATGCTCCAAATTTTGAGTCATAACTGGCAATAAAATTTTCAAATATAAACATTCGAATTTGGAGAATACTTATTTTAGAAGAATTGTAGCCCTTCGAGTTATCATTCAACATATTTTGAATCATCTCAATTTGATATTCAAAGAAAAAATAATGATGAAAATACAGAAAACTGCTTAACTGTGGCTTGATTGGCACTAGCTTGGCGGTCGAGTGACGGTGGACGTCCAATAATCCTGTTTTGCTTCAAACACTTGATTTTGAACCCCGTTTATCCCGAACACTTTTCCTTATATATATCATACCCTAAGAACATCCCAAAGAGTGTTGAATCCTAATTTTACCATAAAGATCATTCCTTTGAAAATCCAAATCACCTTCATTGATTTCAAGATTCAGCCATCATATTATTTGATTCATATATTTATCAAAGTTAGATATGTTAATTGAGCTATAAACCTTCACATTAAATCACAAATCAAAACATACAAGATCTTTGATAAAAAAATCAAACCTACCTTCACCAATTTGACTTTAAAGTTGCTGAAGTTTTGGGAAAAGGTGTTTGGAGCTTCGGTGCTAAAGTATGAAATTTGTTCTTGGAAGTCCACGGGAGATAAATGATACCAGGTTCGGAAGCTATGTGAGGAGCATGCAATCCAGAAGAGCCAATGTGATTACATGAAGAACATCAGATGGGACTAAAGGTTGGTCTGGTTTGGACCATACTTTAAGTTTCATCGTTTGTAGTGGAAGGTTGACTGACAAAGTGCCCGAAGTTTTTAATCATTTGGGAAGGGTTTTCTCCATGATCATATTGGTGTTATTTACTTTACGCAATTTACAAATTGTGGTATCCAAACGAATAAATTGACTTGTTTGATATAATCATCTAAAAATAATTAAAAAGTAACTTGTCGCTTTTAATTGATTTTTTTCACATGTTGGGTCTAACTAAATATTCAGCTAATAAGAACTTCTAGCTATCAAATGGTCAATTGTGAAAAATATTAACTTCAACTTAAAGTAAAAATTTAACATATTAATTTTAAATTTTATACAAAAAAATCACTCATAAATAATAAATAAATTATTACTTAGAAGTAAAAAATTACATATATTATAAATTTAAAATTTCATTAAGGAACATATATGTAATCTTATTATTTTAAAAAACTTTCAACAATGGTGATAAACTCTCAAGTATGGGTTGAACTCTTTTTAAAATTGCTACTAAAATCAATCAAAATTGGTCCGTTCATAAAAACTCAAAATCAGTACTTTAAAAAAGGCCCATAATTAGTACCCAAAACTCCTAAGCATGCCCTAAATACCCTTATTCAGAGGGGATTAAAATCGATTTTTTAGTATATTTTGATAAAAAGATGATGAATATGTGATTTAAAAGTTGTGGGTCCATGAAATATGTAATTAAAATTAAT